TGGGTTCAAGCGTGGCAACAATTGTGAGGTTGACCCAGGATCGGGCAGTGTTTCGTTCTGTTGTGTATAGGGTAGCTATGAGTCAGTACTGACTCAATGGCACCTAACAACAACAACAATATGTGTTGGTCTGTTTCTGGTCTCTTTTCTGATCCTATTATCTATCAATTTGTCCTTTGACGAATACCTTACTCTGTTAAGATTTATTTATAACAAATCTTAGCAACCACACTTTACATTTAGTTTTTTGGGTTTTGTTTTTTTTTCTTTTTAGCCATCCTATAGTTGTGGTTTCTTAATAGGGTTTTTTGTTTGTTTGTTTGTTTGTTTTGTTTTTACTTTGCATTGTCATAAAGACTAAGGTTGCATGGCTTTTCATATGCTTACTAACCATTCATTTATCTTCTTTGATGGTGTGTTTGTTCAGATGATTTGCCCATTTTTTTAAATTGGGTTATTCTTTATCTTATTTTTGAATTTTTGAAAATTCTTTTTAAAATTCTGACAAAAAGTGCTTTGTCAGAAGATGATGTGCAAGTGATTTCTTCTGGTCTGTGGCTTGTCTTTTTATTTTCTTAACAGTATCTTTATTTGTTGTTGTTTAAAGTTTTTATTGTGAATTGAGTGATAGTTTACATGGGGGAACATACGTTTTAGACTCATCCTATTGTATTTGGTTCATTGCAATGATTACAATTACATTCGTTTCATTGCTGATTACAATCCCCTTTGTACTTCATCATTCAACAATATTTGCTTCTATTCCCCTTTTGTTGGGGAGGGGCAGGGAATGTGCACCAAAACACTCAGGAATATACAATTATTCAAACAATCAAAGGGCAAGCCTGTCCCCCAGCCGCCAGCACACATCCCCTCTCCCTCCATGAATCTAGAGTCCTCAGCTGCTCCATCTCTCCATGTTATCATCTCTGCCTCCATTTCTGGCATCGCTGCTTCTCTAGGTATGGTCCCACACTCGGTTCCTGCTTTTCTCCCTTGACGGTCCCAGGGTCCTCCACTCCGGGACTGTAAGATTGACCACTTACCTCTTTTTGCTACAAAACTTCTACCTTTACAGTTGTGACAATCACAATTAGTCATGATAACAATTATTCACTATTGATTCATGAGAGTCTTGTCCCCATTTCCTTTCACCAGACCTGTCTGTTCTTGTTATGTGCTGACTCATAGCGACTCAGCCAGAGTGCTCCTTGGAGGCCAGGATGGCCAAACTTCATCTCTCATACTTCAGACATATTGTCAGAAGGGACCAGTCGCTGGAGAAGGATGTTTGTTAAGGTGGAGGGTCAGAGGAAAAGAGGAAGACCCCCAACGAGATGGACTGGCCAAGTGGCAGCATCGATGGGCACAAGCATGGCAACAATTGTGAGGTTGGCCCAATATCGGGCAGTGTTTCGTTCTGCTGTGCATAGGGTTGCTATGAGTCGATACCAACTCTATGGCACCTAACAACAACGTCTAAGTTGCCCATCCCTATCAACTTTGTATACAGAAAGGATGGGAATGACCCTTGCTTTAAAGTTTCTTTCCCTCTTGGTTGGTATTTTAAGCTACTACATCCATAAGTGAGTCCTGGTGTGGTACTATGGGCTAATGCGTCACACTGCAAAGCCATTTGAACTTCAACGTCAGTGGTTCAAGCTCACCAGCTGCTCCTTGGATACCCTATACTGTGGGTCACTGTGGA